GGGGGGGGCGGCCGGCCGGCCTGGCTGACAGCGCCCCGTGGTATGCCCGGGCTCTAATTACGAGTGCGTGGGGCCGACCTAGTCTGACAGTCTGACCCAGGCCGACGACCGGACCGCTTGCTTCTCTGTTCACACTGCGAGCAACAATCGGACAACACAACAAAAATTGGCCGCGCAACAACCACCCGCCGCCACCACCACCACCGGTACGCGCGCCGGGCGTCGCCACGACGACCAGAGGCAACCGGGCTTTTCCACTGCTTGCTTTTCCGCCAGTCGCATTTGGCGGGTTGTCCTGCCCGCCCTGCCCGCCCGACCCACCTGTTGCGCACCCGGGCCGCGCCCGCCAGCCCCGAGCCCCTGCCGTGGGCCGCGTATAGGCCTCCCTCCGTCCCTCCGCTCCGCACTCGCGCGAGACGCGGCGCGCGGCCCAGCCCACCTGTTGAGCTCCCGTGACACGACCTGTGAGAAACAGTCGCAGACATCCAATCGGGGTCAAGTCGATGTAGTAAACCACGCCTCACCACGACGATGCTACTGTTTACAAATGGTCTTCTTGCAGCCCCTATATGGCAGCCCCTTTTGGGAGATTCCCTACCCCTCGAACCACACGGTGCAATACTGAGAACCGCCCGTAAGTACATTTGCTGGTGACCCCCGGCCCGGTAGCTGAACTGTATCAAGACTGCATTACATATGGCCAATCTAAAGAGCGAATTTTGGGCGCCTTTGGCGCATTTTAAGCGCTTTGCGCACCTGATATAGCTGGTTTCGTTCCATGGCATACCTGCCTGCAGAGATTTAAAAACAACTCGTGCGCAATCGCCTTTGCCGTGCTCGGACGGCCCAGGAGGATTGACCAGGATGACTCGGACCGGGAAGGTGGGGGGGGGGGGTCAGCGGCGCGGTCAAGAGGCATGCAGATTGACTTGTCAGAGACACTGGGTCAAAGTACTTGGCCTGGACCGGGCCGGGCTGGCAGGCAGTGCTGGACGCTCTGCGGCCGGGTCTGCATGCCCAGCCCAGTGGAGTCCACTGAGCAGGGGGGAGAGGGGCGACACGAGAGACAGAGAGAGGGCGTGTCCGCCGAGTGTAGAGGAGGGTGAAATGCTCAATCCAGACTGTCGAGGGGGGGGGGCGCGGAATTTGAAACGTAGGGGAGGAGGGCTCCCCGAGGAGCGCCTGGGGGGTAGGCAGTGGAGCGGCGCGACGCACCCGTTCGCGGCGGGTGGCCTACCCTACGGCCGGCAGGGGTTCAGCCGGCTTGGGTAGGTACAATGGTCCAGGAGGCGTTGGTGTTGTCGACACGGTTCGGCAGTGGATGGGTGGTCTAATGCTTGTTAACTTGAGGACTTTTTTAATGCCCCCCTTTCCCGCAGGCACATCCTGATCCGCCATGGCCATCTTGGACAAGGGCTGCTTTTGCTGCGAGTTGGGCACGTGCGTCAAAGTCCAAGGGTTTTTCTTGGCGGTGAGTCCCTCCAGCTCCCCGTTCTCGTCCTCCGCCCTCTTCACTCCATGCTGCCCTGGAGCTGACGAGCCCCGCCTGCCTTGCCCCGTGCCCGCAGGCCGTGTTCTCCGTGCTCGCCATCCTGGACGTGGTGCTGCTGGCCGCCTGGGTGGTGCCGCGCGAGCAGAACCCCGGGCCGTACGCGGACGAGTCCGACCGACGGACCATCAGCAGTAAGCACAACACGTCGGGGGGTACTTCACTCAAAAACATCAGTTTACTCCCCCCCCCCCAAAAAAAAAAAAACACTCAGAAGAAATCAGGAAATTTCGAACGAAGTCAGAAAAATTAGATACAATCAGAAAAAAGTGAAAAAAGTGAAATTGTGTACGCTTGTAGCTGTACAGGGTGGCCGCTCTGCCCCGTAGTTCTAAAAAGGTAGGCTAGCCCGCCCGCACCGACCTCTTCCGTCCCCTCCCACCTCCCCGCTCTGTCTGCGGGCGGGCTTGTCTACCTTTTCAAAACTACGCGGCAGAGCAGAGCGGCCACCCTGTAGTAAAGGGCCCCTAAGTGCCTCGTGAGGGTGCTCACCCGTGCTTGTGTGTTGCAGTCGCCAAGGTCGGCTGCGCCGTGCTGCTCATGTGCCTGATCGTGTGGGTGCTGCTCGTGTGCCTCCTCCTCTACGGCGTGTACAAGGTGCGCCTCCCAACGACTCGATCCAATCGATTTCAGAACTTACGCTCGCGCCCCTATCGGTATGGCTCTGGCTCACTGAAGCGTGGCCAACACCCTATGCGCCCAGAGAACACGAAACTGCCACGAATAGGTCATTTCCGGTCATTTCAGTCACCAAAACGTGAAAATGACTGAGTTTTCGCCTAAATTTTGACCTTTTTCGTAACCAAATTAGTCTCTTTGATGTCGATATGACGCCCTCGTGAATTTTTCGTGTTTATCGGACGTGAGCGCGTGAACTCGCAAGGGGTAGGGGAGAGGAGCGGGTAAGTGGCGCTCCACTACGCAAACGCTGAGCGTGGGCGTGAACGTAAGTTCTCAGCTGAATAACGTGAGTGCGCGCGCGCGCGCGCCCGTTTGTGTGTGTGTGTGTGTGTGACACTGCTCGGTGTTGTTGCAGAGAAAGCGAATGCTGTTCTGGCCGTACATGGTGGTCGCGGGCTTGCACTTGTTCATCACCGTCGGCCTGCTGATTTTCTACGCTGCGTCCGTCAACTCGCAGATCCCCAACATCATCTTACTAGCGATAGTGCTCGGTGAGTAGAGGGGATTCGTGGAGGCGGGGAAGTCCAGTGCCAGTTGTCATTGTCATGTAATGGTCATGCCATGTTGTCTTACACGACAGTCACCACCTGACCATTCCACCAAATAACTGTTGTAATAATAATCTTGTGTTTTCCAGTGGTGCAGTTCTACCTCCTTTTGAACGTTATCAGCCTCTTCCAGAAGCTGGGAGAAGATGAAGAACTCGAATCCACCATACACATCCACGAGCAGCAGACGTTATGACAGTCACGGGGTGGAAGCCCTCCGCTCCGATGTCTCGAGCACGATTCATTTTTTTCACGATTCCGTTTAGACGGATTACATCGAGTCCCCCCATTCCCATTCGTCTGTGATATGCCTGATCCCTTTTTCTACTCTCTGTTGATTATTCTAGTATGGACCTGGCTGGCCAGTGTGCTTTTTAGATCTCAAACAAACCTCTCTTATACTCAAAGGCCCCATGTTTGTTTAGTGTTCTGGTGACCAAATGTTTTAGTTTAAGACATTAGTTTGTAACACATTTTTCAGTATTGTTGAAGATTTTCTTCTATAACCATAATTAAAAGCACCATGATTTCTTTTTACAATGTTTATTTTCTTTTAAACTTAATTCATGTCACATTTACACCTTTGAACTAGATTGATATTAATTTCTCAATTTAAATAGTTCTTACATGATCTTTGAAGCATCTAAAAGAATAGCACAAACACGGATACAAAAAAGGTGATGTGAAGACAGTCAACAATAGACATGACTAAAATATAGCATTCATAGAAAAATATAGAAAATTGGCAGCATGACACATAGTACGTAGTTAATTGATTGAAAACACTTTAAAAAACTATGCAAATTATAAACAGAGATAACAGAAAATTCTGACAGCCCAAAGTCATCTGAAAGCTTGATTACACTAATTATCACAGATATTGACCGGTCTCTGGAATGTGATGTGAAGTATGCACAAGAATACTTTTAAAAATGCTTTGTATGGTGAGGCATAGTACTTTAAAAAATGTGAGAGCACTCCCCAAAGTACATGAGAACAGATAGATTAAAAATTATACCACAAATTGCATTAATCCTGAAACTGGTAAAAATTTCCAGAGGGTAGCTTTTACAAGCCAGAACTTTAATTACTTTTTTTGACACTAATGAACCTATTGTCAGATTGCATCACAAGACTCCAATGGCTTTTAAAGCTGATTGAAGCTAATGGCAATATTTGAATCATCACACAAAATATATCCAGAGAAAACAAGGATAAGGAAAAACCTGTTCATGATGTGGCACAGTTTTCAGTTGTTTCATTTGATGTCGACTTTGACACATGTTATTAGAGTTGTGAGTTGTCGACGCACCATGTGAACGCATTGTGGAACATTCGCATCCATGGTGATACCTGGAGATCGCTGCTCCATGCAGCCGGAGCCCAAGGCCACTGCCACATTTTGGTGCAGCGTTCAGGGTGAGGCATCATGGCCAGATGCCTTCCATCAGTAGAACATATACCAGCGATGGAACCTAAAACAAAAGAATATTGGTAAAGAGAATACAACAGAAATTTTAAAAACTACTAATGAGCAACTAAATTCTTACCTATGCTTCCATTAGGGTTCAAAGGATATTCCATTGTTGGTTGACCATCCTCATTGACATAGCGGAGAGCTACACAAGATCCACTCTCTAATTTTTTCAGGATGGAACTCTCACGCATAGTGAAGTTTCCTGAAGAGAAAGTTATGGTTGAAGGTAAAGAAAAGCAAACTATAGGGAGTTTTGTCACAAACAATATTGTGGAACCTACCTTCTCCATGGGCGACCCAGACACCAAGAACACTATCAGACATTCCTTGTAACATCATAGCCTTAGAGCTTTCAATACGCACAGTGCTAAAACGACACTCAAAACGTTCTGAGTCATTATGGTCCAGAACTATGTCGGGTGTATCACCAGCATCACCTTAAGAAAAATAAGATTTCCTTTGTACTGTACAGAGATCAGTCAATACAAAAGCAAAGTTAAGAACTTTATCCAACTTACCAATGGGTTTTATGCCAATCCAGCCCAACAGACTCATAAGTTGACAGCCATTACAAACACCCAAACTGAAGGTATTTTGTTTAAGTGCAAAAGCCTTAAACTGATCTCTAAGTTTTGAATGGAAAAGCAAATTTGCTGCCCACCCTTTGGCAGAACCTAATACATCTGAAAAAAAGAATCAACAAAACAACCATAAGTGTGTCTTACAAAATTTGAGAGCTATAGGTAAGATATGTTTGGAGTTGAAGAGAAAAACTCACCAGCATAACTGAATCCACCTGGAAAAACAATGCCTCGGAAGCCATCAACAGTGATCTTCTCATCAAGAAGATCTTGCATAGTTACATCCCACACTTCAAATCCTGCCATGAAGAGAGATGCTGACATTTCTCTGTCACCATTGGTGCCTTCCTCTCGAATTACAGCAACTCTAGGAGCTGAAGCATAGAATTATTTATAGTAAAAATACAAGGAGGAGTTAATACAATTGTATGCCTGGGATGAGACAGCAGCAACACACTACCTGAAGTTAAAGTCTTAGAAGGCTTTGGAACTACATTAGCATTAAATGACAGGTGATATTTTGGAATAAGTCTCCTTCTTAAGCCTTCAAACTCCTGACGTGCACATTGCACATTGGTCTGGCGACATTCAAGGCGGTAGCTGGTTTCTTCCCATAAGCGGAAAAGTGAAATAACATCACCATTAAGAGCAACTGATCCCTTAATTTTCATTTGAATCTAGATAGAAATAATAAGAGCAGCTTAGTTATGTAACTTGATGAAACTATGGACAACACAGGGTAACTTTAATTACCTTTGATTCTGCACCAAGACCAGTAGAGTACCCAATGCAATGACAAGGGACTTGAGCGTCTCTGAAAGTTTGACGAACATAGGAGAGATTTTCTTGTGAGACTTCTAAGACCCATCCTAACTCTTCAGCGAAAAGAACCTCAAGAGGGTCAGCACCATCTTCTGTGTGGTCAATGTTGATAAGCAAACCACTTAAACCAGCAAACGCCATCTCCAAAAGACAAGTTACCAAACCACCATCACTAACATCATGACCGGCCAGGAGAGCATTGTCTGTCAACACAACACAAATCATTTAGTTTTATAAATAAAATATGCAAAGTACCAGAAAATTGTAAAACTATGTTTTTTTAGAAAACCTTTTAAAAGCTTTTGAGTGGCATTAAATGCTCTAGATAGAAGCTTCGAGTCATCCAAGTCAGGCGGGCAGTCCCCAAGTTGCTTGAAACATTGAGCCAGAGCTGATCCTCCTAAACGCATTTTACCACTCGATAGATCAACTAGCACCAAACAACCTTTCTGACCCAACGAAGGACTCTTCAGATCAGGTGTGATCTTCACACGAATGTCTGGGCATGGGGCATAGGTTGAAACAACCAAGGTTCCTAAAAGATACACATGAGTCAGGGTGAAATAAAAAACAATCAAAATCTGATAATGAGCAGAGAGCGGTATAGTCATCTTTCTCACCAGGAGCCTTAACAGTATCTGTCCCAACACGAGCTGCCATACTCAAAGAATCTTTGCCACCATCAATGGCTATACCAAGCTCAGACATGGCTATGCACATTGCTTGACATGCTTCATACAAAGCGCTGCCTTCCCCTGGAAGTTTAGCAGCCCACATCCAGTTACCACTACACTTGACATCCTGGAAAAATAATGATGATTTGAATTTTTGGAGGGAAGTCTCTGAGGTAGGAGAAATGGAAATATTAAGCGGTGTTTTACCTTAATGTCAGAAATAGCAGCAAACACAAGATTTGTTAGAGATTCAGCAACAGCCATACGAGCACCTGCTTTAGCATCAATTAGACCTTTAATTGGTTGTTCACCAATTGCGGTGGCTATACCTTCCTAAAGTCCAAAGAAAGGGAATGAGGATATATAATTATTGTAACACAACATGCACTGGACATGATGCTCTAATTGTCCTTACAATTACAACAGGAGTACTTACAGTGTTGAAAATTGAGAGTGCTGTTACTGCAACATCAGCAAGAGGAGTGTGTAGGGGTCCAACACATTGCTGCTGAGCAATCAGTCCAGTGACACAGCGATCCACTTTATTGGTGAGGAAGCGTTTACTGCAGACAGTTGGTAGACGTAATACTCTCTCTAAAGCAGAACCAACAGTGAGGCTTGCAGGAAGCGATAGTGATCTTGTGATAAGTGGTTTGCGATCAAAGCGGAATTCCTAGAAATTTATGAAGAAACTGGTAAGGGCAAGAAAGTTCTAAAGAGGAAACTTGAAGAATTTTTCATACCTTCTGGGGCATTTTTCCTAACACCAATTCTAGTTCAAGATCTACAGGGTGTCGTTTGCTACCATCAACTGATCCATTGAGATATTTTTCATCATTCATGTCGTCTTCTTCTGATAGAATGACCTGGAGACAGAATCGTCAAATAATTATAATAATTAAATGAATAGTAGAATAGTACAAAGCTTTTCAAAATAATACAAACCTTGCCAGTTCCTGTTACAGTTCCAACAAAGTTGATTGGGCAACGTTCACGTTGACCAATGCTTGCTAATAAGGGAACATCCTCTTTCTTGCATAGCAGAGCATCATTCTCTTGATATTCAGCACCCCAGAGTTCCAGTGTTGAAATTGTTGGATCTCCCAGCTGGAAGCGCTTAGTAAAGATGACAGCTCCTTCTGGCTCTACAAGCTCCTTCAACACATTACCTAAGAGAGAAATATTTAGAAAACAATATTTCAATAGATAATTTTGTCTGAATTGATTCCTTGTGTAAGTTATATTACACACTTACCATTACCACCTGCCCCCTGATCATGAATGGTAAGAATTGGGTTGTTTTCACCAAGTTCCAGACAGGCTCTTATCACACGATTTAGTTTCTGTTCCATTTCTGCATCACCACGTTGAACTGCACCAAAATCAAGGTCCTCTGTGTTGTCTCCCTGAACCTGGGACAGATAAACAAATTTGGTTTAGTCTTCAGAAATTTTAATGTTTACAATTTTAAAGCAATTAACTCTGACAGTTATACCTCCACTGAACTTGCAGCACCGCCACCCACTCCAATCCTATAAACAGGACCACCCATCTTTACAATTTGCATGCCTGGAAAAAATAAGATCTTGTTTAATGTGTGTGGTGACTTTAAAAAAAAAAAAAAACTGTTTTAAGTTGTGGGTAGTACCTTTAGCTGGTTTTAATTTTTCAGTCATGTTAAAATCAATGGACCCGACACCTCCACTGAACATGATTGGTTTGATCCATTCCCTTCTTTCACCAGAAGAATCAAGAAGGCCGAAGGACCTAGTGAAACCACAAACAACTGGTTCTCCAAACTTGTTTCCATAATCAGAAGCTCCGTTACTTGCCTCTACTAGGATGTCTACTGGCAGAGCAAAGTTGCTGGGGTACTTGAAGCTCTTCTCTTCCCATGGAAGGTCATAGCCTAAAATAGATGTCAGATGAATTATCCATTGTAACTTGAGGGTTTTTGTTGAATTTCATTTCATCTATATTATTACCTTGAATGAGAAGGTTACCCACAGAGTAACCAGCAGTACCAGCAATGCAATGTCCACCTCGACCAACAGCGTGGACGTCTCGAAGCCTGCCACCTGTACCAGTGGTTGCACCACTAGAAATGTGACACACCCATTAGCTTTATAAAATTCTCATTTCAACCAAGTTTTCAATATACATTCTGAAATATTTATTTCACCTGAAAGGTGCCACTCCAGTGGGGAAATTGTGTGTCTCAGCAGTAAAGATGAGATGACTCATTGATTTTGTTGTTTTAAATGAGCTGGGCTGCTGAGGATTATGAGGACGGAAATTCTGCACTTCAAATCCTTCAATAGCACTAAAACATTTGATAGATAATAATAAAGCAATTAGGCAATGTGGTTACCTTCTGAATTAAGAAAGATCCAAACAAATGCTTACCTGCTGTTGTCACTAAATTTGATTACATTATTGGGGTTTGAGTTGGCTTGGGTTTGAATAATCATATCAAATAATGATTCTTTCTGTCTCTCTCCATCAATAACCATAGATCCCTAATAACAAAACATGCATGAAAAGTTGATGATAGCCATGACCAAAATTTCACCCGAGCTTCATGGAGATGTTCATATAAAAATTACCTTGAAAAACCAATGCCTGCTGTGTTCACTGTTGGACTGGGCCAAGTCAAAACACTCAACACTAGTAGGGTTGCGTTTTAACTTGTCCTTGAATAAATTGGTATAGAAATCAAGATCCCAATTGTCAAAAGCAAGACCTGAAGAATTTCACAATATAAATAATATAGATTTTGGAAGAGAACAGGAGAAAAAAAAATAAAACAAGAAGTGTTGGAAAACAAAACTTAGTTTTAATAGTAATTATCTTACCAAGTTTGGAGTTAACTTCCTCTAAGGCTTCTCTTCCTTTCCCCATCACATCAACTTCAAACCATGGAGCAGGGGACACACCAAGATTGAAAGATTCCAGGGGTTTATCATAGCGACATTCGGTCATTTTATCATGAAGCACGGCAGCAAGCTAAATTGGATAGAAAAAGAAATAAGTAAGATAGGTAGCACATAGTTCTCACAAAAAAATATTTTGTAACACAGACCTTAGTTTCCAGATCCTTTCCAAAATTTAAACCATTCTGCTCCCAATCAACAAGATACCTCACAGACACCTCCACCCTTGTCACTTTTGTCAAGCCCACTTTCTGGCATATTGACACAGCATTACTGGAGAATGCTGTTGAGAAATTAAGCCTGCAACAAAATACAAAACCAGTCATATTGAGGCAATTATAAAAAGTACCACTTCAAATTATTGCTACATACCTTGGACCAATTTCAATGAGAAGACTTCCATGTGGATGGCCAACTAGATGTGGAGAGGAGGAAAGCTGGCCTGGATGAAGCGGATTTCCTAGAATCCAGAACAACGCACGACGGTCCTCTTCACTGAGATTTCCTTTAACTTCTACATTGTAGCACAATTCCGTTCTTAGACCACTGACAAGTTGTGACACCTGTTTCAATAGCTTGACCTTTGACGCAACAATCCCTACGCTCAAACCGGGATGCCGATATACTTGCTCAATGTGGGTATCCATTTCAAATCCTGAAAGATAAAAATGTGTAGAAAAAAATATAGTGAGACCAATGCCAGAATTCCTACACAATTTACAAAAACATACGTTAGAAAGAATCAAGAGCTCATCGACTGGCTAATGTCATGCTACTGAGAGCCGAAATGAAAGTGTGGGAGGCTATGTCTCAACAAGGGGCACGACTCAAGGGTTATCTGCTTGGCATGTAAATATCAAACAGATTACACATCGTCTGAACTTTGACCTCCAAAGGAAGGCCAGCTGACAATGTGGAATCAATAGAAAACATGAGCGGGAATCCAATCATCTAAACAAGATATGATGAAAGTGAATATTACATCACATATTTTGAGTGTTCATTGGCATTTGCAGAAGTTTCATCAAGCAATCAAACTATAGATGGTAGGAGGTCACAACAGCATTTATAACAAACTGGAGAAAATATCATTAATGCCTCTAATTATTTATTTTTTAAACGTTGGCCTGCTCAATATTAAGTTTGCTTCTCTTAAATGTTACTGTAAAAAATAAATTAACAAAAACATATATCGTAGTTGATTGACAAGAGCAGAAGCTGATTAAATTCAGCTGAACTTTTAACAATTTGTTACTAGTCTTGTTGTGACCTAGGAAAGGAGTGAGTATGTATAATGTATGCATATGATATGACCGATATGACATAACAAATCAGGAAGTGGGAAAAATATCCCAGGAATCCCAGGAAAGCATAGAATTTCCAGTGTTTCATGGAATTACAAAAAAATACAGTATTATGAAAGCATAAATGCAGAGACGTGTACGTGAAAGGAAAAGTTATGGAAATACTTAGACGACGACAGCAGTCATCAACTCAAATCAGATTAACCTGCAGAGAATTACCAGGACGCTGGAGCGAAACGTGTTATATAAGATCACGTGTACGAACGATAATTACAATCCCAAAACTTGACGGTAAGGAAAGTAAGTCAGGTCCATTTGACTCGACGGTAATAAGGGTCGGTTTAAGGCCATTTAGACAAATACTCACATGCAAATTGCTCCCTTGTCGCACAACAGGTGGTGCCGTCCGTGTGGCTCCGGCTCGCACTGTTTACACTTGCCTCTCTCCTCCCGCCGTCTCGTCTCGTCTGCTAGAGATGCTAATCAGGTGTCGGCTTCCTTTCATCCCCCCCTCCTCTTTTTTCTGCGACAAAACGACAAAAGTCACGTGAGTGAAATCAGTTGCTGCACAACAAAAGTTTAACTGGCCAAAGGCAAAGGCCTTTTAGGTCGAGACGAGAATTAGAAGGGAAAACTGAACTCTCACCATATCTAAGCAGCAACGGACCGACCCGGTTAACTTGCAAACACAATCAACAAAAGCACTTTTTGCTGCAGGGGCATTATTATTTGTAGGGCGTAGGTTGGCTGCTCTGTCGCGGCAACTGGTGTCAAAAGAACGCGCTTGGCTTGAACATCTTAGGAGTGTTACAGGTCAGCATATAGCAAGGCAAGCAGCTTCATGAAGAAGTAAGGCCACGAGAAGAGTGTGTGCAATTATCACTGTTATGCAAGAGATTTTTTTGATTGTGTGTTTTTGGTGTTTTGTGTTTTATGAACTAGGAGGATTTGAAAGATCTAGGCTGCACCAAATAGGAATGGGTTTCTCAACTAATTGAATTGATTGAATAGAAGTTCTTAGATGAATCTGATAGATTTAAAAAAAAATTGTAGAAATTGTAAACAATTTGGACAGATTCTGAAGAATGGAAAAGATTTGAAGGGATTGCAGAGCAGTTTGGAGGGGATTCCCGAGGATTGAAGGAGGATCAGCATGAATTGGAGCCCAATTTTGACAAATTTAAATTGATTGGGTTTGAGATGTTCTCACACATTTATTTCCACTACTACACAGACACATTGACCAAACTAAGGCGTGACAGCTTCTGCCAGACTTATTCTACCAACAATAATCAGCGCAAAAGGGGATAAGGAGGAGGATGACAAATAATTGAGTGACACAAATGTACTGTGGGTAGTTCCGACACATTGTAAGTAAAAACAGAATATTTTCATTCCTGAGATCTTCAAGGTTTTTGTTCTACTTAGAGACTACCACAAAGATAAATGGACTGAATAAGGAGTTGAATATACTGCTGAAATTATTCTACCAATAAGAATCACAAGATAGAAAAACAACAAATCCAAGAACTATATATTTTTAAACTGAGGGGACATGAATTTTCAGTGGTTGATCTACTTTTCACTTCAGATTAGTAAAACCAAGTTGTTGTTTTTTTTTTCCATACAGATATAAAGTGAGAAAATTGTTTGAATACATAGAATGTGCTACTCATCAAAAAGAAAAAGATAGGTCAATTACAACATACCAATGGTAAAAAATGTACAATAATTCAAGCTTTTTCAAAAGAACACTATCTGAAAGTTTTGATAACTTTAGAATTTTCATGGTAAAAATTAGTAAAATATATGAGAAATAATTATAGAAGGGCACACAACACAAATATGTGTTGCTTTTCTTTGACAAGTGTCAAAGAACACTACATGCTACGGTCCATGAGTTCTATGCTCACAGGAATCCGCAAGACAAGCAGCAATGGACCTATACTTTGTGATAGAACAAAAAATTGTTGAATTGAAACTTGCCTTGGTAAGTTAAAGTGACTGAACACAATCTTATTGAATTATTGAATTTTGGAGAATATGGGAAGAGCTCACAGCACAAGAATAGTGAAGCATGCTTCACTTTTAGTACCCTCAATGGAATATTAAAAGGCAAGAAATCACAGTTTAAAGTTAAATACATAATGCTCTTTTTAACATTTCAAGTAGATATTCAGGAACAAGAACAAAGAATTGATCTCCCATTCATTAAACCTAAGGTGGTCCTTTTATATAATAGGTTCCACAGCAGAACATTCACTTAAATTAGATAGATAGACAAGAAAAAATAACACATCAACAGGACACAAGAGGAAAAAATGCAAATTGTTACAAACATGACATTTGATAGAATGAAACAAAATCAGATGGGGTGAAACTAACTCCCCTTTTAGGCAAAAGTATGTTTGTACCTTGACAGAACTTTCTTGCAATGTGACCATGATTAGATATTTTTTGTACTTGACTGAGAACATAGCATAGTGCCAAATTGAGCAACTAATTACTAAATCTAATTTGTTTACTCATGTTCAATACCAATTTGATATGGACTAACTATTTCAGACTTTTTCACATCACCCTGTTTATCTACATTGAAAATTAAGGAAGACAAAGCTTCACTTAAATATTAAAAAGACTTAAACCTTCAAGAGGCCTTAGTGCAAAATCTGTTGCAAAATCCAGTGAGCAATAAAGAAAGTTTATATTCTTTATTTCATTTATCACATGGAATCATGAGTCATGCAGTGACTGTCAACTGAACAATATCTTTCTGCCTAAGAGTAAATCAATCAGGAAAAGAGAAATAAAAATGGAAAAGCTTAAAATTGTTAAAAGAAAGGTACACATGTATAATACACACCTAACAATAATAAAAGAGCATAATACCCATATTCCCCTACTATAAGGAGAAGATATTTTCACATATAACACCAGATATTTCTCTAAGAAGCACAACAAGAACAAATGCATACAAGAAAGTCATAAACACTCACAAAAGATGACTTAGAAAGAGGGAAAAATGCACAGAGAAAGCAGAAGTGACAGACAAGCTTCAAATTCTTCACTGGCTAGCTGAGTTGATAATACTGTCGACTTCAATATCTTCTTCAGAGTAATCAATAGCAGGTCCCTCATCCCCAGGCTGCGGAGATTTTTCTTCCTGCTTATCCAAAAAGGCTGCTAGCCCCCAGGACGAGTTGCCCTCAGATGGCACAGGAGAGTCAGCGTCCTTTCTAAATTTCTTGAAATGCTTTCCTTCATCTGCTGACCTCTTGGTGGAGCTACTGCCAGTGCTGCTAGCACAGCTGCTAGATGGGGACTTATTGCCAGAAGTAATGTCATCATCAGAAGAACTATCAGACTTACTCAGATCCCTTTTTCCTGCCATTTTATCAGAAGACTCATCATTTTGCAGACTAGCGTTAGCAGTGGTTGTGTCAAATGTGACCTTTGGATCTCCAGACGAGGATGATGACGATTCCGACAAGCAGATTTCTACATCAGGGGTCTGTAAAAAAAGTAAAGGTGAAATCAAGTAAAGTAAAAGGAAATTTCAAATTTGTATTTTTTAATAAAATTAACTTAATACATTCACTTACAGTGAGCGATTTTATATCTCCCTGGCTGTCGAGTCGTCCGGGCTCCCCAGCTCCCAGCTGGCCGTCGCCACTGTCCAGGATGCTGGCCGCCAGGAGGGCCAGGTTGTCGGACGACTCGGTGCTGGTGTCGCTGCGGCTGGCTTCACCCTCGACAGCCTGTTGGCCGCCACGTTCGGGAGCCGGATTCGGCTCGGGCGCGGGCTTGGGGGAGGGCTCCGGTCCGGGGGCCGGCTGAGGCGCCGGGGGCGGGGAGGGCACGGGCGCCTCCTGCTCCTGCTCCCCTCCGCCACCATCCTCGACATTCTTGTCGTCGTTGCCCTCCGCCTCCGGGGCGGCAGCCAGGAGCGCCGCCCCGGCGTCCAGCACGCTGGCGCGGCGCGGGCTGCCGCGGAGCCCCTTGGGCTGGCCCTTGGGCCGCGGCGTCCCCTGGTGGGCCTGCGGGGCCTGCGGGGCCTGCGGGGCCTGCGCGTCCTGCTCCTGGCGAGCCTGTTGATCCTCCTGCTCGCCGGCGCGCATGGCGGCCAGGCGGGTGCGGCGCTTCTCCATGGCGGCGAGGCGATTGCGTTCGATGCGTGCCCGCTGCTCGTCGGTCAGGACCGGCAGGACCTGCAAACCATAACAAACAGGTGAGGAGCAGGCTCGCGAGAGGGGGGG